ACAGCCTGAGTTCGCCTTTTATTTTTTTATTGATCCTTTTTTATTTTCTTTTTGATCCTAAAGTTTTTATTTTTTTATTGATCCTTTTTTATTTTCTTTTTGATCCGGCAGCCTTACCTTGGCAGTTTAGTTTATGGTTTATAAGTATTAAAAGTCTGCCTGAGCAGCGGCCCAGTTACGAGTAAGGACCAGGACAGAGACAGCAAATCGACGAGCAGCAAATCACACGTGATCTATTTGTTTGCTGGATCGTTCTGATACATAAGTCTAGACACCCTAACTGCTGTAGTGTGATCCTCATGTACGTGCACAAACCCCGAACCCCAAACAGCATGGTTCTGGGATTAACACCGCACCCTCTAAGACTCTAAGCAGCTACGGTCTAAAACCGCCCAAGACACTTTTGACATGTGGAATTTTAGGCAACTGGTTGAGGAGGCCTGGTAAAGGATCCAGACTTTCAATAGGGCAGACCCAATTTCAAGAAGCCCCCCAATGATGTTAAACTCTGAGGTTCAGGGTTAAGGGTTTAGGGCTTGTTCAGGGTTCAGGGTTTAGTAGCGTTCTTTTATTTTAGTCTCCTTCATAGTAGCCTTTGTAGGCTTATAGCAGCCAGTGTAGTAACACCCTAACCCGAAACCCCTAAACCCTAAACTCTAAACCCTATAGACCCTAAACCCTATAAACCCTAAACGCTGAACCCTAAACCCTGAACCCTAAGCCCTAAACTCCTTACTTGCAGGACACAATGATTCGGCTGAGAGACCCCGAACTTCCCGAGAGCCTCAGACGCCTCTCAAAAACTGGGAATGCACCTACAAATCATTTTAAAGCATTTTGGGGTTCCTATTATGGTTTAAAATACATTCCTGAATGAAGAGCTTCTGTATCATTTTGGGGTTTTTGTGATGGTGTAAGGTACATTCCTTGATTAAGGGCTTTTGTCTCTGGGTTTCGGCTCTTCGATGAGTCTAGTCGTTACCCTAGGCGCTGATATGCGCTGATATTGAAGTAGCCGGCACTCGTAGTGGTTGGGCGTCGGGAGGTTTAGGATTTGGGGGCTGAGGAGTTTATGCGTTTGTGCTTTGTAGGGCTCAGCAACGAAACCTCGTTCGGCAAGCAGAGGACCATCGGCCAAAGATTCCTTTTATCATAAACCTGAGCAATCCTGAAAGACCCGCTTTCCCCTTTCAACCCCCCTAAACCGTAAACGCTGAACTCTGGCGTCTCGAGTTTAAGGCTTACTTGAAGATCCAATAGGCTACCGTTTTAAGGGTTGGGTTCAGGGTTTAGGGTTTATATACCCTATAGTTGAGGGGCCACAACCTACTATTCACTGCTGTGAGGTGTTGGAGCTGCAGGTAGGGCCCTGACTGTGACTGGGCAGGAGCTGAAGCAGCAGAAAGCAGAGATGCTCGAGGCTCCTGGGTGCAGAATGTTGTTGATGATATACATCCTGCATGACCTTAAGGACCCTAAACTATGGGAATTATGGTATATTCCTTATCATGGGTAATGCAGGATTTATATCATCAACCGTAGCACTGAGGCTAGTGATTCAGGACTGGAGTAGGACAGTCTATGGCAAGTCTATGGGGTACCCTACGTAGACAGCTGACTGGGGTCCTTTATAGATTGCTGTCCTTCCAAATGGGCTAGCCTACACCCTAAACCGCACGCCCCTGAACCCGAAACCCAAGCCCTAAACCCTAAACCTTAAACCCTAAACCCTAAACCCAAATCCGGTATTGACCCTTTAGAGCTTCGGGCTGAAATTAGATTTTTGCACATCTTCTACAGGGGTTCCCAGCATCACTCTTGAGCTTAGGGTTTAGAGTTTAGGGTCTTATACTTTTAGACTCCAAAACCACCCCTGCATAAGGAATGCCCCCTTCAAGCATACTCAGGACGCCTCTAGGGGCTTTGAGCCTACAACGGCTTGCTCAGAAGAGCGAAGACAGAGCTTGACGAATATGGGGGCCTTGATAGTTAGAATAGGGTTTGGTGATATATTATGCTGCAACTATACCAAGGAACCCCCAAAAGAACCCTATTCTGATTTTTAAGGCCCCTACATTAGTATGTTGACCCTCCGCCTGAACCGACAGAGCAGCAAGCCCCCAAAGGAATGCCTAAACCCTAAGCCCTAAACCGCAAACCCTACTTGAGCCCGAAGCCTAGGGGTTAAGGGCCTTGCTCAAGAAAGCCTCGTGTTCCAGCAGAGCAGGAACAGGAGAGTGCGAAGCAATTCCTTCAGCCAACTCCTCGAATTCAAGCGGTTTCTGTCATAAGGTTTTAGGGTAAAGAGCCTTATACAAAGCCCCACTTATCCTGAATTTCTCAACCCTAAAGCCTAAACCCTAAATTCCCTAAACCCTCAACCCTAAACCCTGAAACGTAGAGGCAGAGAAGAAAGCCCTCCACCGCCTGGCCCTGCGCGAGAAGGTCCGGCTTTGGGCTCCTTTTTAAGGGGCTGAAGGGTTCCTTCAAGGCTTCCCTGTTCAAGGGGTTGAAGGTTTAGGGGTTTAGGGTTTAGGGTTTAAGGGTTTAATGGGTGGAATGTTTAGGGGTTTGGGTTTTTTGGGTTTAGGGGTTTAGGGTTTAGGGTTTAGGGTTTAGGGTTTAAGGGTTTAGGGTTTAGGGTTTAAGGGTTTAAGGGATATAAGGTTTAGGGGTTTAGGGTTCCTTTAAGGGTTCCCTGTAAGGGGTTTAAGGTTTAGGGGATTAGGGTTCCTTTAAGGGTGCCCTTTACGGGTTAAGGGTTCCCTTTAGGGGTTTAGGCTTTAGGGGTTTAGGGGTTTAAGGTTCCTTTACAGCTTTAAGGGTTTCCTTTAGGGGTTTAGGGTTTGGAGTTTAGGGTTTAGAGGTTTAGGGTTCCTTGTGGGTGCCTTTTGACTATATTGTTGTTTTGTGGCTCTGTAGGGTTTGGGCTTGGGGTTTGTAGGGTCATACTTCGGGTTTCAGGGGTCAAGCTCGAAGTTTAAGGTTTCGAATTCAACTGTCTTGTTCGCCGTGGGGTGGAGTGGGATTGTGCCCTTGGTTGAGAGGTTCGAGCGGACTTTCGACATCAGAACAACATCTCCATGAGCATCCGCCCAAGCTAGCGAAAGACGCGTCCCCAAACGCCAAGCTTTCTGACCGAGCCCTCTGAACCCTAAACCCTAAACCCTATGAGCGCTCTAAGCCCGAAGCTGGATGAGTCTGGAACTCGAGAGCCCGCCAACCCCAAAGCCTAATATAGGGGCCTCAGCAATTACCTATATGATTTAGGAGATTCCTTATTATAGTTATACTATGAAGGGTCCCAAAACCTTATTCTAGTTATTAAGACCCCTATATTAAACGGCAGATGTTAGACTAAAAGATTGCAGGCCAATCAGTCTGTCGAGACGGCTCTTGCGCCGCTGAAGGCAAGGTGTTCAGGGTAATATAGAAGACTGAATCATCAACTATGCTACTTTGGAGTTCCTTACTATGGTTATAGGATTATAGACCCCCGAAACCCTTTTCTAGCTAATTATAAAGCCCCCCCCCATATGTTGTTTCCGATTTATGGCATCGGCTGCAAGGGCCAATGTGTTTTGCTGAAGGTTTTCCGAGTTCGGGATGTTACCGGTAGAAGGCTTCGAAGCTCTATCCTGCGTAGGGATAAGGATCTGTACACGGGCCTCAGGGTTGAGGGTTTGGGCCTTTCGTCAGCAAGGCCTGCCATCTTCAGTCTCATTCCTACCCGAAGCGTATCGAACGTATAGTGCCACCACGAAAAAAGAAAGGTTTGGTAGGTTGAGGTGCGGTCTAGCAGCCTTCTGTAGGATGCTGTGACACGTGACAGGCCTTGCCCCAGCAACTGCGTGAGGAGCAGACGAAGCTGCGTGCTGAGGCCGCGAAGATTAGCTTTAGGACCTCGGGTAGTCGGGCTTAGGGTTTAAGGTCTTAGAGTTTAAGTTTACTTGAGGATTGGGGAGCAGAGAAGATGTGATTTAAGCTGCTGACAAAAGTTTTCGAGCTGTCCCTGCCTGCAACAATAGGCCTTGAGTTCATGGTGATGCAAGGAAGCTTCTTCTTCATTACGCTGGCGTGGATGTTCTGGTGCTTAGCAACGAGAAGCCTGAAGACGGTTCGAGATTAAATTTCACAGATCCATAAAAATCAAAAAAGCAACACAGGAGCTTGTGATCGGAACCTTCACATCTAGTCACTGCAGTAATGTGTTTCAGGTAGCCCTATAGACCGTTAACCACAACAGAAGGCTTCCTGCTGACCCTTTGAGAGTTCTCAACTGTGCCCAGTCCCCTCTTTGCTCCATCCCCAACTGGTCTCAGAAATACTGAACTTAGAATCTACACCTCCATCACAGCTACCCTATAAAACTACTCCTTTCTAAACCCCGATGTAAACCTCTAGACCCTAAACTCTGCAACCCTAAACCCTGAGCCGCAGCCCTTAATCACCAAGGGCTTCGGTCTATTAGGGTTTAGGGTTTAGAGGTTTAGGGGTTTAGGGTTTACGGCTTGATTCAGCCTGCGGCGTTACTTCAGTCCGGAGGTGCAGCAGATGGGACAGACCTTCGTCGGCGAGATCGCGAAGATGGTGGAGGGCACCAAGAAATTGAAGGCCCGGCTCCATGCAGGGTTCAGGTCATGGGACTAAGGCCTTAACCCTAAACCCTAAGATTCCTGGGTCCTTGTTGGATACAATTTTACATGCTTATTTCTGTTAAAAACCAAATGGGGATTAAAGATGATCATTTTTTATATAGCCCGAACAGGGAACCAGATTCAGGGTTTGTCCCCAGTGAGGTTTTCGGTGAAGCTTCAAGGAAATGGGCGAGGCCGCCCTTCGGCGTAGGCCTGACATGGATTGGCTGAGTCTTGGATTCCAGGCTCGGGAGCCATACCCCAACAAAGGGTTTAGGGTTTAGGGTTTACCAAAAACGTAAAGTCTAGGGTATTTTCTGCATCTTTGACAAATATGTCGTAACTCGCACTCTTGTTGCCAGAGTGTCTGCATCTTTCCGGATCGCGGCTGCTAGTTCCGTATTCTGTATGCATGCTTCTTATGCGCAGATGAAGTCTAATCTGCAAAGTCTACATCCATGCGTACCAGCGTCCTAGACAAACACACATGCCTGCATGTGAGTAATGTAGGGGCCTAAATAATTACCTATACTAGTTTGGGGGCTCCTTATTGAAACTATAGTATAACATACCGTTCTCTAAATTAGGAACCTCAAAGAAGGCGGCACCCAAAAAAACAAACAACAAACAGACAAAATCCTGATTCAGAGAACTGCCCATGTTTTTTCAATAGCTGGAACCCTCGGGTTCCTGTTGAACCCTTGGGTTTAAGCTTGGGTTTAACGGTTAAGTCCTCGAGAAGGTTAGAATTTCGAGGTGTTGAGGGTTTAGGGTTTAAGGTTTCGGGCTCAGGGCGCAGCATACTGCTTTCAAGAGTGTCCAGCTTAGAATCCGAATAACCAAGAATGCTGCCACATCAAGCGTTCAATAATGCTGCCCAGTACCATCATGATAACTGCTACAGTTACGGTCGCTATATGAAGACAACCAGTCACACAATCACCAACATGAAGGGCAGCCCGATACATGCTTTCATCACAACTCAAACGAAAGCCCTCACATCCACAACTTGAGAGCAAAGGTCTCCACATCATCTGACCCTCCACGCACGTGTCGAAGCCGCGAAGCGCAAGCCATCAGCTACCCTAGAGGCCCTAAATTTGGAAGCCCGCAACACGGAATCCTATCAAGCTCTGCCCCGAAACTCGCTAAACCCTAAGCCCTACAGAATTGTGGAGGTCCCCTGCAACTAAACCCTAACGCCTAACATAAAGGCCTTATAATAATTACTTATACTATTGTGGGGGGTTCTTTATTATAATTATAGTATAAGGGACCCCCAAACCCATTCTAACTATTAAGGCCCCTTTATTAGCACCTTGGCCCGAGGCCCCACCAAGCGTTTACCTCCAAGCTCTACACCAAGACCTTTGCTAAGCGGAGCCGTATTGGTTTAGGGTGTAGGGTGTAGGGTTCAGGGTTTAGGGTAGTACTCGTACGTAAGACCCGTTGCAAGCTGTCAGACTATCAGCAATCCGTTGCAGGCACTCCTCCAGGAAGAATCCGGTTTCTGTGCTAGAGTCCTGCTAATATAGGGGCCTTAATAGTTAGAATATTGT